AAGAGGAGAGAGGGGGAGGGAGAGAGAGAGAGGAACGAGGAGGTCTGGAGGCGCTTTTCAGCAATAACAAGCACCTCATCTCAGGGCATGGGGGAGAACACTTGGGCGTGTGTGCGTGTGTGCATATGTGTGTGTGCGCGTGTGTGTTTGTGTGTGTGTGTGTGTGTGTGTGTGCGTGCCTTCGTGTGTGTGTGTGTGCGTGTGTGTGTGTGCGTGTGTGTGTGTGTGTGCAACACACACACACACACGCACACACACATACACACACACGCGCACGCATGCACGCACGCACGCACGCACGCACGCACGCACGCACGCACGCACGCACGCACGCACGCACGCACGCACGCACGCACGCACGCACGCACACGCACGCACACACACACACACACACACACACACACACACACACGCACGCACGCACGCACGCACGCACGCACGCACGCACGCACGCACGCACGCACGCACGCACACACGCACGCACACACACACACACACACACACACACACACACACACACACACACACACACACACACACACACACACACACACACACACACACACACACACACACACACAGCACAAGCAGAAGGGGCAGCATTAGAACTAGGCCTGCGCCTTATGACCACTGTTTGCACGCATGATGCTTGGTAGTCATAGCTAGTAGGAGCAGCGGGTGGGTGGCAGCATGCCCGAGATCATGAGAAGAAGGGGCAGAAGCGGGAGGGAGGGGAGGGCGGAGGTGTCCGAGGTGAGGAGGGGGGACGACGAGGAGGAGGAACAGGAAGCAACGCCAGGCTGTAAGTAACACGAGAGTTGGCCCTTTTCTGGGCGATATCGCGCGACCCCCTGGTACTCTTCTAGAGCATCTTCGAACTCCGAGGTATTTACTGTGGTGCGGGGTCCTTGTTTTGATGGGACAGCGCGCCGCGTTCCTCCTCCCGCGTTTCTCCTGTCCTTCCCCGTCGTTTCTCCAATTATCATGTTCACCCTCTTCGTTTCATCGTCATCATAATCATCATCAAGATCGCCCCTTTTTTCGCCTGGGCGACTTCGCAGCCCCCGTGCGTCCCAGCCGCCCATTTCGGCACACCCCTCGCCCGCTTCGTAGCCTCATAGAGAGCTCCAGCGAAGGCCCCAGTGGCCCAGCCCGCATGCGTCCCTCACACGCTTCGTGGCCACATGGGCATCTCCACCGAAGGTCCCAGTGGCGCAGCCCGCATGCGTGCCCGCCGCCGATTTCGGCACACCCCTCACATGTTTCGTGACCCCATAGGAAGCTCCAGGGAAGTTCCCAATGGCGCAGCCCGCATGTGTCTCAGCTACCGATTACGGCACACCCCTCACCCGCTTCGTGGCCCCATAGCGCAGTCCGCATGCGTCCCAGCCGCCAATTTCGGTACACCCCTCACACACTTCGTGGCACCATAGGGAGCTCCACCGAAGGCCCCAGTAGCCCAACACCCCTCACACGTTTCGTGGGGTGCTCCAGCGAAGGCCCCAGTGGCGCAGCCCGCATGCGTCCCAGATACCCATTGCTGCACACACACACACACACACACACACACCTCGCACGCTTTGTCGCCCTATAGGGAGCTCCCCCAGCGGGCCCAGTGGCGCAGCCCGCATGCGTCCCTCCACCGATTTCGGCACACCTCTCACATCGTGGCCCCATAGGGAGAAGGCCCCGTTGGCAACGCCCCATGGCGGGCCCGCCCCATGTCGGGACACACTTCACGCGTTTCGTGGCCCCAGAAGGAGATCCACCGAAGGCGACACTCAGAACGACGGCGCTCACAACTGCATGGTTGTTGGGTCCTGCGCCAGGCTCCTTCTGCGCGGCGCTGGCTATCTGGCCGCGGGGTCGAGAGCCCAGCACCTTGCCCAGACCTGTGGCGCCTCTCTTTGCAGCCGCACGGTTCTTGCGCAATCGACGTGGCTCGCTCTCTCTCTCTCTCTCTCTCTGAGTCGCGGACCTCTAGCGCCCAAGGGCGTGTGGCGGCCCCCCCCCCCGTCCGCACTGGGGCGTTCGCTCGACGGGCGTGCGCCCCAGCAGGAAACGAGGCGTCGCTGCCGCTGCCACTGCCCACCCCCTCCTCGTCGCCCCTGCCTACGCGCTGCCCCCCCCTTCGGGCCGAGACTTCGTCGGGCATGTCCCACTACAGGAGGAGTATTCAAAACTCGTTAAGCAAACAGTCTGGGGACAATTGTTTGATTATGGTTTGACTATTTGTGATTATTGTTTGACTCTCTTTCATCTTTCTTTTAAAATTCGCCTGTAAGAGGACATGTCCGACCCAACGCTGGGCTGACGTCTCCTCAGGGGCCGCGGCCCCGCCGCCGACGTCCTGCGCCTGGTCGGGCGACAAGGCGGGGGTCGGACGGGCCTAGAGGCTCGAGATAAAAATCCGGTCCCGAGAGTTCTGGAGCGCTTTCAGAGCGTTCAGGAAGGCTCTGAAATGGCCGCCCGCGACGCCCGATGCATCCTCCGAGGACGCACCATGAACCCCCCTTTCCTCTTGGAAGATGTCAAGAGACAAGGGGGGCGGAAGGCGCGCGCTGCAACCGTAAAGGAAGAAGTGTGGCAGAAAGGTTGGTTGTGTGATGGCGAAGACAGGTGTGGAGTATCGGGTGTGGAGTACCGGATGGTGTGTAGGAGACGGAGGGAGTGGAGTACAAGGTTATTTTCAAGTTCAGTTTGGGGAGGGAGCATGTTGAGTATCGGGTGGTGTGTTGGAGACGGAGTGTGTTGAGTGCTGGATGGTGTGTTGGAGACGGAGGGAGTTGAGTAGAATGTTATTTTCAAGTTCAGCTTGGGGAGGGAGCCTGTTTTGTATCGGGCGGTGTGTTGGAGACGAAGGGTGTTGAGTAGAAGGGTATTTTCAAGTTCAGCTTGGGGAGGGAGCCTGTGGAGTATCGGGTGGTGTGTTGGAGACGGAGGGTGTTGAGTACTGGATGGTGTGTTGGAGACGGAGGGAGTTGAGTAGAAGGTTATTTTCAAGTTTAGTTTGGGGAGGTAGCCTTTTGAGTATCGGGTGGTGTGTTGGACACGGAGGGTGGTGAGTATTGGATGGTGTGTTGGAGACGGAAGGAGTTGAATAGACTGTTATTTTCAGGTTCAGTTTGGGGAGGGAGCCTGTTGAGTATTGGATGGTGTGTAGGAGACGGAGGGAGTTGAGTAGAAGGTTATTTTCAAGTTCAGCTTGGGGAGGGAGCCTCTTGAGTATCGGGTGGTGTGTTGGAGACGGAGGGTGTTGAGTGCTGGATGGTGTGTTGGAGACGGAGGGAGTTGAGTAGAAGGTTATTGTCAAGTTCAAAATGAGATGAGAACGTCTTCCAAAAATGAGCCTCAAAATGAAGTCCGCAAATCGTGGGATATATGAATTCGTATATAATATGGAGACAAGGGGGTTCTTGGTGCGTGCGGAGGGCTATATATATATATATATATATATATATATACAAGTGGCACGTGTGTGCCCAGGCTCATACAACAAGCTGAAGGGGCGTTTGAAGCAGGAGTGACATGCAACAGCGAAGTCGCACTCGAGCGCAAGTGGGGTTGCCACACCTTGCGATGTGTGTACCAGGGCCCCCCAGGAAGCCTCAGGAGGCCCGACTTGGATACCAGAAGAGGCTCCAGGAGGCCCCAGGATTGTGAGTGTTGTGTGTGTGTGATGTGTGTGCTTTGTGTGGTGCGTGCTTTTTGTGTGTTGTCGGTGTTGTGTGTGTATGTTATGTTTGTCTAGCGTGTGATGTGTTGGGCGTGATTTGTGTCTCTGTGTGTGCATGTAGTTCTGAAGCCCCAGGAGGCCCCAGGAGGCCCCAGGCGGCCTCAGCAGGCCCAGGAGAACAGGAGGCCCCCAGGAGGCTCCGAGGAGGGGTCTGGGGCTCATATAAACATATATATAACTGTACGTTGGTATACATATTTATATGTATGCATATATATGTATATGTATATACATATAGACATAGAAGTACATATATCGCTACGGTGTTGTCTCGATGCTCCCTTTGTCTTACGGAATGGGGGGATGGATTGGGAAATGAAGTACGGCATCTCCTGCATGCAGCCGGTCTTGGCCCCGCCGAGGGCAATCGTTCCTTGATGCCTGGGCGCCCCCTGCCCGGGAGGCGCCGGGAAAATCAGCCACGTTCTCTGATTATTTGACCTCATTTTTATCTCCGCCCCTTCGTCCCGTCGCGTCTCAGGGCTCGTTTAGATGCCTACGATTCGATTCGATGCGATTCCGATGGATTCCGATTCCGTTTCGATTCTACCTGGAATGTCGATTCGGATTGGAGGCCCACGATCTTTCGATTTCTCCCGACTCGGCTGCCGATTTCCGCCCATCCGATTCGTGTCGATTGCCGATCCGATTTGTCGATTCCTTTCCTGGCTCTCCGGCTGACTTGGGAGGCGCTCCGGACGCAAGCACGGAGCGTCATTTGCGCTCATTCGCTCGCTTCCCCCGGCCCCTTCACCGCGCGGTGGGCGCATTGGTACCGTAGTGATTACCTCCGCGTGATCCATGCTCAGCAGCCCAACCAGGAGTGTTGTCAAGTCGATGAGTCGGGAGCAAGGAAGCTTATACATATATATATATATATATATCGTTGGGCCAGTGGGGGCATCTGAAGCCCTCTTGGAGCTTTTTCGGGGGGCAGTCGTGGGTTGGGGGGCCCCTTGCAGCCACTCAGAAAGGGAGGGTCCTGAGTTGGGGGTGCCCCTTTGGAGCCTGAAGATTTCTATCTTTTGGCCTTTCAGGACGCTCTTTGGGCGTTTCGAGGGCCTTAGGGGGCCATCTTGGGGTGATTCTGCCCATCGCCCCACCCCTCAACCCCTTCCTCGAATTGGGTTTTGGACCAGAGAGGAAGGACGCCAATTACCTCTCACGCCTTCTCAGCCCTGGCAAGCGGGGGACGGCGGCTTCTCGTCCTCTTCCACCTCTGCCTCTCCTCCTTGGCAGCCACCGCTTCGGGGTTCTCAATCAGGCCGCCTCATCGCCGCCCGCGCCGACGTTTCCAGCGAGGAGACTGGGAAGTCGATCCTCGACGAGGCCTCGGGTTCAGCGATGGTCAAGCGAGGGGCAGGAGAGCTGGGGCTATAACGGGGCTAGGTCACCAAGCAGTTAAAGTTGCTTGGTTGGTCCGGCGATTAGATAGTTGGTTGTTTGGCTAGTCGATTGGGTGAATGATTAAGCTCGTCGATCTTCAATATGTTACTCAATCCCTGACCCGAGTGACGCAGGCGAACTAGAAAGCGCGCCCGAGCGCTTTGGATTCGATTGGTGCCTCGTTGACGTCCAGGAAGCATGGGAGCTCGGAGGTCATGAACAGAGTGGAAGCGAAGGTCGCGGAATGGAGGACAGGATAGGAGCAGACCTTCTCTATGTGTGATTGGGGCGATGGAGCCGAGCATACGATGTATACAATGTATACGATGTATATCATTGAGCACAGTACAACCCTTCATCCTAACAGCACCATAATTTCGTGGCCTAACTAAGGTTCACGGTTCGTACGAATATTTCTAAACGTATGTATGGTTTCGTCTGATCCGTGTGCACAACAAATATGTTATCATTGATGTTTCTGGCTCTCCTACTTCAGGCCTCCCTCCAGAGGATCAGGGGCACCTTTGTTCTTGCCAGCATATGTTTGACTGTCCCTCTTGAGTGCACGACTGTGCTTGTTAGGACAAGGGCTTAACGACGCATCTCCGCGTCCTTGCTCTGACTTGGGGCGCTCGCTGCGCCTCGCCCGCCCCATCGGCATGCGCAGCGCCGCCACGCAGGCGCCCGCGCAGCGGCGGCCGCTCTCTCCCTCGGGGCTTCCTGCCGCGGCCCCGCTCCTGCGGGCAGGCCCCTCGAAGGGTCTGAAGTCGGGGCCCCTGCGGCCGCAGGCTTCCGCCGCAGGGGTCGAGCACGAGCGGAGCAGTCGACTGCTCACGGCCCCTCAGCGCCAGATCCCGCGTGGCGGCGCGGCCATGCACCATGGGCGACAGAGTTCAGTATCCGCGGCCTCGCGGGGTCAGGCCCCTCTGCAGACGGCCCCGCGGATGCGGGGCCTCTTGGCTCGCGGATGCCCCGCGCGGGAGGCCTGCGTGCGACCGCGTGCCCGCGGGGTCGCGCTCCGGAGGCCAGGCCGTTGGGGCGCGGACACCGGCGCTCGTGATTGCATGAAGGCTCCAGATGTTTTCTCTCTGGCCTTGAAGTCGGCGTCACCCCAACATCTTAATACTATGTGTTCGTCGCCCCCCCAGGGGCGACGCGCGCACCGAGAAATCTTATGGTATATGCGTCGTGGCGGGCGCTTTCTGGCCACACCGCTCGGGAGACGATGTGCCACAAGATGGGTACACTACATGCTCGGGTCGGACCCGCGCCGCCAAGGAGGACATATAGTACAAGTATGGTTCTGTGCGCCCCATGAAGTTCCGCAGCGCGAAGTCGATTCGACGTAAGCACTGCAGCGCTGTAGCAGCGAAGCTTGGTCGCGCGGCAGCGGCCCAAGACTCGCAGGCTGCCAGCGCGCGGGAGGACCGCCCTTCTTGGCGCAGCAGCGCTGCAGCGCTGCAGCGCCGTGGGATCGTAGCAACCCCGCGCTGCAGCGACTCGGGGCTCCTCTGCAGTAGCGCGCTGGGCCAACCTCCGTACAAGTGCAGACCAGGCCTCGTTCTCGTCTTCTTCCAACTCCACCTCCTCCTCCTCCTCCTCCTGCTCCTGCTCCTCCTCCTCCTGCTTCTCCTCCTCCTGTTCCTCCTCCTCCTGCTACTACTCCTCCTCCTCCACCTCCACATCCATCTCCACCTCTACCTCTACCTCCTCCTCCTCCTCCGCCTCCTCCTCCTCCCCGTCCTGCTCCTCCTCCTCCTCCACCTCCACCTCCACCTCTACCTCCTCCTCCTCCTTCTCCTCCTCCTCCTCCTCCTCCTCCTCCTCCTCCTCCTCTGGCAGCCGCGCGGTGGACCAAGATCGGAAGCTGGGCGAGGGCTGGCAAATCCGTGGCTGCTAAAACGATCTTCCCGAAGGAGAAAGAGCATATTCCCGAAGGAAAACTCGGCGCACTGAATAGTAAACGGGGTGCCTCCCGGAAGGAAACAGCACTTTCCCGGAGTTGCGTTTTAGCAGCCACGGGTTTGCCAGCCCTCGCCCAGCTTCTGACAAGATCTGCAGCTCTGCATCACAAGCATTCCCTTCGGTACGTGGCAACTCGCGGGAACCGTGTGCGTCCTCGAAGTGCCGCCTTTCGAGTGCACCCGCGTACGCCAGCGCCTGGTAATCGGTAAACATGAGCAGATTTAGAATCGATCGGCGTCCGCTTAGCGTCGGTTAGCGTCGATTCGCGTCGTTTAGCGTCGATCCGCAAGTGCAAGAAACATGGCATGGCATGCTCCCATGAGCCGCCCCAGAACGCGAACTTCCCAAATTCTTTCTCTATTGCAACGGCCGTACGTCTCGTTCCGAGAGAGAATTGAGTAGCTGGGGCGCAAGAGGCGGAAGGGGGATGGGGGCCATGGGCAGCGGCGGCTTCAATGTTAGGGCGGAAATCTGACGATCCTTGGCCCATCCTGCCGCTGCGATTGGGTCGTGGCCCAGAGGCGTTGGGGACAATTTTTCGGTGTCAAATCATGGGAGCCTGGTGTGCCCTCATAATTTTGTCTTCAGCGTCGATTAGCGTCGATTCGCGCCTGGGAGTGGATGCGATAGCGCCGATTTAGCGTCGGGTAGCCTCGATTTGCGTCGATTCGCAAGAGCCGGAAATGATGGTATGGGAGGCTCCCGAGGCTCCCATAAGTTGCCACCAAACTCGCCCGCGAGCGAGGGGGGGAAGTGAGAAGGGGTGGGCCTTCTCAGAAGGCCCAGAAGTCCCCAAGCATTTGAGAAGTTGTCCTAGCCTTCTCCGAAAACATCAAACTTCTCAAAAGGCGCGAGGACTTCTGAGAAGTCCCGCCGACTTCTGAGAAGGCCTTCTCCTTCTCGCTTCCCCCCTCGCTCGCCGCCGACAAACATTTGGAGGGAGCTTGACACAGGCTTTGCCAGGGACAGGCTGATGTTCCCGACTCGTCTGTAACACTTGCTCGGCCAGGAGCCATCCGGGTGTCTCTCGCGGGTCGGACGAAACCAGGTTGCAGGGTTCCTTGCGACCCCTCCGCTTCGATTCGATTCGACTTCGACGGTTGTCCATTTCGATTCGATTCGATTTCGGATTCGTTTTGGGCTCCGATTCCTCCACGGATGTCTGCTGGCCCGCCGCTTTCTGCCGGCTCGACTTCGCCCGACGTGGCTACCGATGGCCGCCGATCCGATTCGCTTCGATCGCCGATCCGACTCATCGATTAGATCGTTAGCTCTCCCGTCAGGGTGTTTCTCTCGGGTCGGACGGAAAGGGGGCTGCAACATCAGCTCAGCTGCGTGCAGCTGGTCGATTCGCGTGTGTCATCCTTGCGCAGGGCCATGCTGGTCTTCTCTGTGTCGTTCCAGGTTTGACGCATGCTCCACGAAGGGAATTCAAGGAAGAAGATAAGGAGGAAGAAAAGGAAGGGTGCATGCAGGAGTGGAGGAGGAACAAGAAGAGAAGGAGGAACAAGAAGAGGAGGAGGGAGTAGAAGGGGAGGGGCGTGCAGCTCGTCTCGCCTCCCGCCGCCGTCCCGCCTCGGGCACGCCCGCCGCGTCGCGGGGCGCCAGGGAAGCCAGCTGTGCGCAGCTGATCCGCCAACTTCCCCCCCTCTGCATGACCCCCCCCTCCTCCTCCGACGCCATCGCCAACACCAGCATCAGCACCTCGCACACCCTGGATGTTTTCGCCGATGACCTCACCTCACAGGTTATTGCTCCACTGCAGGTTCTTGAGGGGCAGGCTTCTGTCATCATCGGCCTGCTATGCGACTCCCTGCAGGACTTGGGCCTCCCAGTGGCCAAGTCCAAGTCGATGTTGGCTGCGTCTCACGACCGCACCGACACCGCGTCTCTCTGAGGCTTCGGAGATTTGGTTTCCATGCCCTCTCCTGGCCGGAGGTCCTTGGGCTTGAGGCCGGTGCAGGGAAGCCAATCCAGTTCCGTGTCTTACGCCGCAAGCTGAAGGCTGTCTCCAAGCGAGCCCATCACTTCAAGAGGCCGCTGGTCTTGGGTGCCAAGTATCGGAAGGTAGCGCGCCATTGGCCCTGCCATCTTTTATGTCCTGGACATATTGGGACATGCGCCACATATTGCCCAGAGTATGACGAGTCAAGTCAAGATGGGATGGGATGCGATTCCAAGTGGTGCCTCTCACTGGGTTGCTTCACGACTCGCTCGATCGCCTGATCATCTGACGGCTTGCGTTTCTGTCGTCGGACCCACTCACAATTTGGCAGTTGTGGCCCACGACGGTGACATCGACCAGCTGGATATGCAGAAGGCATGTAGTACGCAGTGCCGCGCTGTTGCTGCAGCTCCTCGAGGAAACCATTGCAGGCTCGTCACTTGACTGGCTCGCGCTTTTTCGCAATCTCTGTTGGCACTCGAGTGGGGTCTTGCTCTTCTGCCTTTACTGTCCGTACCAGGCCAGGCTTGCTCTACAGGACTATGAGGCAGTTGATTGGTTGAAATGGTCTGAGCGTCGAAAGGCCATGCCTGAGACTCCTGGTCCCGCTCACAAGGATTCTGCTCGTTGTTGGCTTGCGCCGAGACGCCGTCTCTGGCAAGCGGGGTTGAAAGTGAGGAATTGGCTCTTGGATCCAGTTGCCAAAGCCGAAGTTCGTTCCGCTGTCCGAGATGACATTTCTCGCAGCAGAAGTTTTTTCCAGTACGCTTATGCGACCTCCCAATATTGTTTGTTGTGCAAGGATGTCCCAGGAACTTTGCACCATCGGTACTGGCACTGCTAATGTTGATCTGGATTTCGTGAGCATGCTGTCGGCCCTGACGTGTTGGCGCTGGCGCGATGCACTGTACCTGGAGATATGTTGTTTTCGAGGGCCTTGTTTCCGAATTCTGAACTGCCGGCTTTGCCTCCTCTTGATGACCCGGGACAGTGGCACTATGACAGGGCTGCTCGGGTTTAACCACTTGCTGTCGCTGGTGATGTCTTCACGGATGGCTCGTGCAAGATGTTTTTGCATTTGGGGGGGGAGTTTCCCAGATCAGGATTGGGTTTCGCGGTTGCTGGTGGTGCTCGGTACTACGGCGCAGTGTTCGGACCGTTGCCGGGACCTCGGCAGATTGCAGACAGGGCACAGTTGTGCGCGATACTTAAGGTTTTGACGGTGGGAGTGGACCCTTTGCGGTCGTTGGTGCACCTTCCCGCGGCGAGAGAACGTTGACCTCTGGAAGCAGTTGTTCCGCCGCATCGATGACCACGGTGGTGCAAGCTGCCAGGGGGGAGGCGCTCCGATCGCACTCACCTACGTGAAAAAAAAGGGTGTCGGGAAGACGATTGTTGGGAGAAGCGCTGCAACGACTTGGCGGATCAGACTGCCAAGCGAGGTCGTCAGTTGCATGATGTGCCTCAGGGTGTGGTGGATTGCCACTCCCTCGCGCTGACGAAGACGAGGCAGGTGGCGGGGCGACCTCGCCGCCGCCGCCGCGGGCACCCGCGGAGCATCCGCATCGAGTGAGGATGTGGGGTAAAACGTTCGCCTGTGAGCACTGTAAAGCTTTCGCATTGACCGCCCGAGATGCGAGGGCCGTCAGGCTCCGCGCGCGCGTAGTTGCCGAGGCGGCGGCGGCCCTCCGGGGCCTCGAGGGCGCTGCGGGCCCTGAGGGGTCGAGGTCCTCCTGCGGTGGCGGGCCGTCTCGTGACCTGAGCTGCGTGCAAGGGGTGCGCTTCCAGACGGACGAGGAGAGGAGGGATGACGACCTGGCCACCGCTGGGTTCGCCTCGGATCCTCTGCCTGTGCGATGGCCTGCTCGTCGACGGACAGCGTCTCCCCCAGGGCCTCGACAGAGGAACAGGTACACGCCGGTCGTTGAAAGTAGGTATTTTCGATTCCCAGATCCCAATCTGCTTCAAGCGCCTGCCTACTTCAAGAATCGGCACGCTTTTGCTGTGTTTTGTGGCTCTCTGTGAGGACCTGGACCCAATCTACTATATCCGCCTTCCTACTTCATGTTTCTACTTACTCCTCTCGACCGACGTGTACCTATGCCTCTACCCTTCGCCCGTTTGCCCCCTCCTTGGGCCTTCTGGGGGGCCCTCGTCGCCACCGCTGGGTTCGCCTCTGAGTCCTGGTCGGCACGCACCCCAGGAGAGGTCCGGGGAGTGTAGCGGTATGGGCACCTTGGTCCCCCCAGGACCAGCCTCCATCCCCCAAGTCCTCCTGTTGGCGGCCCCGAGGCCGGGCAAGGGCAAAACTGCACAGCACCGCCCGTCGTGATCGAGGACCGAGGACCGATGATCGAGGACCGAGGATCGAGGATCGATCGAGGACCGAGGATCGAGGACCGAGGACCGAGGACCAAGGACCGAGGATCGAGGATCGAGGATCGATCAAGGATCGGGGATCGACCTCTGTCGAAGACGCCGAGTGGGCCCGGGCCTGCACCGCGCGGCCCCGCGGCACCCGCGAGGCCTTGGAGCGCGAGGACGCCGCCGCGGTCGGCGCGCTGCTCGCCGCCCGCCCGGCGAGCTGCAGCAGCGACTTCTGGCACGACCGCGCGCTGCAGTTGCTGTGGCGGGACCGGTCCTGGCCGGTCCTGGAGGCGCCCTTCGCGCGGCGTGCCGGCTTCTCGACTAGATGTATGCGTGACCTTTTGCGGGGGTGACCGTTGGTGCGGGCCCACGGGGGTCCCCCGATCGCTGAGCGCGAAGCGGTAGCAGCGGCTTGCGCGCCCAGGTTTGGCCGCCCCGCGTCCCCCGTGTCGCCGCGCACCAAAGGTCAGTCCTTACCCAGGGCCACTCTTACGTGCAGCCGAGGCGTGCTGGCTTCCTCCGCGGCTCCTCTTCAACGCCTTTTGGTCGGGGGTGGGCTCAAGCAGTAGCGAAGCGTCCTGATTCGCCTCTAGGCCTACCGAACATTGTTCTAAGAACCTCATTTGTGGTCTCCACGAAGTGTTCTTAGAGCATTTCTGGCTAGGACTGTCGTGTTTGAACACATGGGGCTTACAATCTAAGAACATTGTTTTCGTTCTTGGGACGTGTTTGGGTTCTACAAACATTTCGTGGTAGGCCTATAGGAATGCCGGGACGGTCGGTCCCTGCTCAATGGTCGGGGGCGGACGGAACCCCCACCCTGACGCATCGATCAATGGACTGTTCGTTGTCGGCTGTCGAGAACGCGTGCCAGGCTCGCGCCCACCAGGCTTTGGGAACGGCCAGTGACATGAACATGATAGCTCGGAGGTCCGCGCGGATTTCTCGGATCGGCGCTGCGGCCCCCTGGCGGCGCCTCCGGTGCCGCCCCTGGCGCTCCGCGCGCCAAAGGAGGGGGGTCTGGCGCGGATCCAAGAGATCTGCGCGGACCTCCGGGTTTTTCTGGAGGCGTCCCGCCCAGCCTGCCTCGCTGGCGGCCAAGAGGGGGCGATGACTAGGGGGGGGGGGAGCGGGCCACGATATTCCCGCAGAGTTCATCAGAGCGGTATCAGCACCTTGAAGTTTATCCATTTTCATAGCGCCTCGTTTTATTTCGTTACGCCGTTGGCCCGCCCTTGGGCCGCGCACGTGCCGCCGGCCATGATTTGCGCCCCGCCCCTCTTCGACTGGCCGCCCCCGACTGCCGGCCTCCTCCGCTCCTCCTCCGCTCCTCTTTTGGGGGCCCCCAAACCAGGTGGTGAGATATCAGGTGGTGGCATGGGATCCCCAAGAATTCACCGCCGGGTTTTGGAGCACCGGGTCACCGCCGGGTTTTGCGACTCCTGGGCCCACCAGCGTTCGGGACACCCTCGAAAAACATACGAGTCCCCAAACCGGGTGGTGACGCCAAATCGACCGAGACTCAGCGCCAGGTGTTGTCTCCACCACGTTTTGGGACTACCAATCCTCCTATTGGCTCGGTAGCAGATCCCTCTGTATGCAGTCGAGGCTGGTCAGCAGCTCGACCCCGCCAAATCCAGGGCAGTTGCCCTTGTGTCCTGTGTTTCGCGACCCATGCCTTCTGCATTCCTATGGCAACGTGGCCTTCGAAAGGGTCTCGTGTCCTCTCGCGCGTCCTCTCCAATCAACCCCGACTGTATAGCGCACTGCTATCGACTAGCGTCTGGTACTCGATTGGATAGCGCCGATTTAGCGTCGATGAGCGTCGATGTAGCGTCGATTGTGCGTCGATTGCTGCCGGTAGCGTCGACTAGCGTCGATTCGCAAAGCCAACAAAAGATAGAGGTGCCCAGCCAAACCTCAGGGTTCGGTTGGGAACCTCCCTACGAATTTAGTTGTGAGGGAGTGGGGGATACGGGAGGCGGAGAGAGAGAGAAAGAGAGAGAGAGAGAGAAAGAGAGAGAGAGAGAGGAAAAACACAAAAATATAATAAAAAACAGAGAGAGAGGGAAAGAGAAAAAGAGAGAGAGAGAGAGAAAGAGAGATATAATAAGACAGATAAAGAGAGAGAGAGAGAGAGAGAGAGAGAGAGAGCGAGAGGGAGGGAGGAGGGAGAAAGGATAATGAAAGAGAGAGGGAGAGAGGAGGGAAGAGGGAGGAGGGGGGGAGAGGAGGGAGGAGGAAGAATAGAGGCCCGCCCCACACTTTAATGTCCCGCCCGCCCTGCCTGACCCGCCCGTCAGGGTCCGCCCGCCCGACCCGACCCGCCCCGCCCGCTAGGGTCCGCCCGCCCAACCCGACCCGCCCGTTAGGGTTCGCACGTGTTCGGTCGATCGCGCCCCACACTTTAATGTGCCGCCCGCCCGACCCGACCCGCCCGTTAGGGTACGCCCGACCCGACCCGACCCGCCCGCTCGGCGGAACCAGCTCATGCCGTATCCTCAAGAGGAGAGAATGGGGAGTGACTCGAGGCAGGGAGGTAGGCGAGGGACATGAACATGGAGCGGAAATGACGAAGGCATCGTTGCATCCTTGCATTGCTGCATCCTTAGATTTCATTCCAGTTTTCGAAGGACACGTGCTCCCTTGCATCTTTGCTGGTGCTGTTCCGTCTCCTCCCTCTCCCTCTCTCTCTCTCTCTCTCCCTCCCCTCTCCCTGCTTTCCTGTCCCCCGAAAGACCAGATATGCAATCCGAAAGCCAAGATGCTCATCCTATGGCGCTTTGTGCGGCTCGCCAGTGCGCATGCAGAACCGCAGAGACTAATAAGATAAACTAACATGTGATTAGTCTGAGTAGGTATTTTTTTAATCTTTGATTGTTATATCTCTCGCTTCGTTGAGGCCCGCCACTGTCAGCTTGTCTGTCTGTAACTATTTCGCTCAAGTCTTGAGGGCCGATGTGGCAGCAGCGTCTCCAAGATTTAGCTGTCAACGGCCTGCTTTCGTACCTCAGCAGGTGCCCCGCAGCTCCCCCTTGTCCCGCGGTGCCAGCCTGCCCCGCGTCAGCCGCAGTCACTTGCGGATCGTGCCCGCCTTGTCCAAGCTGCCCCGCTCTGAGCTGTGGAAGGCAGCCCGAGGTGACTGAGTGTCCGTCGACGACCCCAGCGGCTCCGTGCGCTTGGGCTTTCTGGCTGACGGTGGGCGTCCTCATCGGCGTGGTAGTGAAAAGGGCCGCAGTGCTGGCCCTTGGAGTCCTACGAGGATTGCTCAGCCGTATTCGCGAGGTGCTTGGTAGCTCGTCGGACTCGACTTCTTCAGTGACCATCGGCTCTCACAATGGACACGTTAGACATCCCACAACCCCAAGTACTCGTGCACTATCCCAATGACGAGGGAGGCATGTTCTGGCATCACCGTATTCTAGTGAAGAAGATCACAGCGGGGGTATGGATTGCGATCACCCCCGACTTAGAGCTTGTCCGTCACAATCTCCTAGAGCAGCGCCACCTCGTCCTGGAACGCAATTCGATGTTCCCTGCGAATCGTCGGGGCGAGGTGTATGGCCTCGACCCTGTGCCTCGAGCTGAGATTCTGGCTCTGAAGAAGCAAGCTGCAGTTCAGGCAGCAATATTGGGCGATGGCGACCATGACGTTGAGATGGAGAACTTCGTTTGGGTCGTCGCGGAGGTAGGTCATTCACGGTTTGCCCAACCCCTGGTCGATGCAGAGTTGGACCGGGCTTCTTTGGGGCAGTCCAAGGGCGTGGCGTTGGTGAGTGGCCTCGAAGTGTTCATAGAGAAGGTTCAGAGCAATCAGTTGCAAGAGTGGATGACCTCACGTAGCTCGGAGGGTGGAGACCTACGCACTTTGGGCGACCATCGGGACTCCGCAGGCCGTCGTCATCTGCCACTTTCAGACGCTATATCCCTCATGCGCGAGACGAGCTTCGACGATTGGGCCATGCTTGGACCACGGGTCGCCAAGGAGTGGCTCGTTTCAGTTCGGGATGGCCCTGGAGATCTTTCTTCTTATCACGGACAGTGGGTTCGCCGTTCGGGAGTCAGCGAATCCTCGGCGGTGGCCCACATTCATTACGTGCTGTGCGAGTCGGTTCGGCTGGCCATTCAGACAGGCCAGCTCGACGTGACCAACTTGTTGAGCTTCGAACTCATCATGCGCAGGATCTGCCAGGACGAGACCGCGGTGGCTCGTAACCCTCGCCATCCTGACTACGGTGGGTTGGAGATTTTGCTTCGCGCTCCGACCGCCGAGCAGGGCCAGGCGAGCACGAACAAGTTCACGGAGTGGGTCACGGGCCGTCTCAAGGAGCAGGCCGCGATCTACAAGCAGACTCGGTTGTGGAACGAGGAGCAGCGGGCCATGCAGAACTCTCGTGCCCCCGCAGACTCAGGCCGAGGACGAGGTCGCGGTCGCGGGCGCGGCCGAGGTGAGAAGGGGAGCAAGGGCGAGGAGGAGGCCCCGGGGTAATCGCGGCCTTCCGGGCCGAGTCCGATCCCCGAGCTCGGCCCGACGTTCCTGCTACGGATTGGGGACATGCTGCCCGGTGGAGGCCCTCAAGACGGAGGCGCGGGGACCTTTTCGCTCTGCCGAATTTTTTGCCCTCTCAGCTCGACAGCTCGGGTTTGGGCTCCGAGCAGCGACGGCGAGTGCTCTCGGCGCGGGCTTCGCTCAACCATCTCGCTGCTGCTCAACCGAATTCAGATAGTGTTTGCCAGGCTCGCCGGTCATCTCGGGCCCCGACTGCCGTTCAGGAATGGATCTTGGACAGCATCGCGGAGCGCGTTGCCGCTGTGGCCCCCCCCCCGCCTGGCCTGGCGGCCGAGGGGGCCGCTCGCGAGTTGCTGGCTTCTAAGGACCTGTACTGCCAGGAGCCGAAGAAACTCGCGCCGTTCGACCTGACGAAGCTCAAGGTCGCTAAGGGGCGCGCTCGACCTCGCTCCGTGGCTAACTTCTTGCCACCTTTGCCCGCGGACATGATCCGCAACCCTGCACTGTACATCGAGAAGGATGAGGGGGAGATGGAGTTCACGCGTCAGCACACCGATCCTATTCGTCCTTACTGGGGCCCCGTGCTTCGCTCGAGTCGGACAGAGTGCTGGCGACTCTTCAGGGCGTTGTATGAGCTAGGGCTGATAACTTTCAGGCGTCGTCTCCGGGCTCGTGCTGCCCTCTTCTTTGTGAAGAAAAAGAAACCAGGTGAGATTAGAATGATTGTGGATGCCAGACTGGCCAATTCGTGTCATCGTGCCCCTGCGATTTCAAGACTCGGCTCAGCTGGGGCCCTTGCGGACCTCGACCTCTCCGTGGGTGGCGGGTCCGTCGACGGTGTCGGCAGTGTGATAGGCTGGGGCCCCCGCGGGAACGAGGCCGATGTCGAGGACTGCTTCTACAACTTCGCCATCGATGGCTTGGCGGAGTGGTTCGGTTTCGACGAACGACCCGCTGCCCGCCGCCGAGACCAGGGACACGCACGGCATCAACGTCGGGGCGTTCTGGGACCCCGGGCTGAACACGATGGTCTCCGTGGAGGACGACATGGTCTTGTATCCGTGCATGCGCGCTATGTGCATGGGGTGGTCCTGGGCTCTGTACTTTGCGCAGGAGGCTGTATCCGCTATGACAGAGCGGGCGCTGCGTTCGTCGTCTCCACCGACGCCTGCCATGGCGAAGGAGCATCGTCCCGCCCCTGACTTGAATGAGTCTAAGGTCATGGGAAGCGTCTACGTGGACAACATCACCGTCTTCGACAGGGACGCTTCTCTGGCTCGTGAGGCGAGCTCCGCCCTGCAGGCCGAACCTGACTGATCTGGTTTGCCTATCACGTGGTCCTACCCTGATGTGGTGACCCACCTCGAGACCGTGGGTGTTGAGATCGACCTCAGGAAGGGGAAGCTTCGCAACGAGGCCTCCCGAGTGTGGCGTTTTGACTTGGCCACCCGCGCTCTCCTGCGTCGTGGCAAGATGCGAGGAGAGCACATGGAGGTCTGGCTGGGCCACGCTGTATCACTGCTGATGCTGGCCAGGCCCGGGTACGCCGCGCTTTCAGCCACGTGCCGGTTCGCCGAGACCGCCTGGGGCGTTCGGACCCCTCTGCCGCGCGAGGTCATGCACGAGATGAGGTTGGTCGCTGGGCTGGTCTGGCTCGCTGAGGTCGACCTGGCGGCGCCCTACGTGCCGCACGTCTACGCCGGCGACTCCGCCGACAACGGGTACGGCCTGATGTACAAGAAGGCCACGGTCGAGGAGATGCAGTCGGCCTTCCGCTGGAAGGAGAAGTGGAGCTTCAGGCAGCACCTCCGAGGCCCCCGCGTTGGTCTGACTTCGGCCGCCGATGTCGCTGAGATGGGCGGCTACAGGGAGGCAGACGAGACGCAGCTGGATCACGAGGTGGGGCCCCGCTGCCGCTCCGCCGAGCCGAACGCTGGCTCCGCCCCTGCCACGGCCTTCGGCCAGTGGCTGCAGAGCATGGCCGAGGAGGGCTCTGCCCTCGACGGACCTCATCGGCCTCGCCCTCGCCGTCTGCGGCGGCGCCCTGCCGACCCTGACGATCCCGACGCCGAGTGCCTCGGTCAGGTTGGCCCCCTGGCGCCGCCGCTGCCCGCCTCCTGGTTCGACTCGGAGGGCTTCAAGCTGGTGGCAGCGAGGCGCTGGCGCTGGCCTGGAGAGCACATCAACGTGAAGGAGACCCGCGCTGCAGTGATGGGGCTGCGGCATGCCTGTTGCGTTCGCCAGAATTGCGGACGCCGCCTAGTTTCTCTCGTGGACTCCATGGTATGTGTTGGCTGCCTGGACAAGGGGCGGCCCAGCCGCTCAGCAGCTCTGAACGCACAGTGCCGGCGAGCTGCGGCCTACACAATCGGTTGTAGAGTGCGTTGGAGGCTGCGGTATGCCAACACGAAGTTTAACGTGGCCGACGCTCCATCTCGTCGGTTCGAACACAACTCCCCCGACAAAGGATACAACAAACAGAGTTCGACAGACATGACATCATTTTCTCCCTCTTACTCCTTTTTGAACGCTGTAGTCAAGGCGGGCAGCCTGCCTCCTGGACTCGGTCTCGCAGGGCATCCGCCCGCCGCGGCCGAGAGCGACAAGCATCTGGGCTTGCAGCCTCCCGAGGAAATCGAAGCCTCTCTGCGTCGAGTGTCCTGTCCGCCTTCTACTTCGACACCTTCGGTGACCAGTCGGACCGCCTGTCCCCCTCTACGTCTTGAGCGCGCTCAACTTCGGAGACGGGCCCAGCAGGGCCAGGGTTTCTTGGAGCTGTTCTCGGGCGAGGGTGGGCTCTCCAAGGCGTTCGAGGAGCTCGGCCTGTCTACTTACCCTTGCATGGACATCAAAGATGGGGCTCACTATGACCTCCTGGACCCGAAGGTCCAGAACATCATCCTAGAGGACATCCGAAAGGGGCGCTTCTGGTAAGTACATCTTGGGACACCTTGTTGCGTGTGGTCTCGGGCTCGTCATAGCCTCGCCAACTATGAGAAAGCCGCGTACAAGGAGCGTGTGGGTGTAGCTCTAGCGTTGTTCAGCTGTCGTGTTGCTTATGAGTGTTCGCGGAACGGCGTTTTCTGGAGCATTGAGAATCCGAGATCTTCCAGACTTTGGGACTTCGACCCCGTTCGAGAGCTCACTGACCTTCCTGACGTTGTTCGCGTGTGTTTGGTGCACTGTAGTTACGGTGCCTCCCACATGAAGCCGACAGCGATTCTCACTAACCTTTCAGCCCTGAGTTCTTTAGCTTCGGTGTGCTCCAGAGATCATTCACATGTTGAGCTCAGGGGTTTCGAGACCGTGACGTTGCCATCTGGGGCTCGTGTTTCTCGCAATCGTACGGCAGGTGCTGGAGCCTACCCCCGCAGTCTTTGCCAGGCATGGGCCCTGGCCGCGGGCATGTCAGCGCCTGCGCGGGCCCGAGGCGGCTCAGACCCGCCTGACGGCGGGGACCTGGAGGCCCGGCTTCGCGATGCTGCGCGACGGCCGGCTTCGCGCGCCCGGGAGCGCCCCCGACCAGCTCGGCAGCGGCTTCAAGCGGAGCCTGACCTCGGGCTCGCTGGCGCCGTCGACTCAGCCGACCTCGAGAGCAGGTTTGACCACCTGCGGCCTTTCATCATCTTCGGTCAGGACTCCAACCTCCAAGCAGCAAGGAAGCAGGCAGCCCGCTCGAGGAAAGGCCCGAAAGGTCGCTGGCCGCCGCTCCCGCGTCTCTAGTTTCGTGGAGGCGATCAAGGGCCGCAACCTGTGCTTCGGGCCGACGGCGCCCGCCCCTGTGGATGGAGGTGTTGCCCGTTTCGGCTCGATCACCTCGACGTCGCTGGAGCGATATGGGACTGCAGTTCGTGCGTTTTTCGACTGGGCGACGCGCTCAGATGACCTCAGACAAGCTCCAGAGTCCGTTATCGATCAGAAAATGTGCAAGTACTTCGATGTTCTCATGAGTGATGCTCGACATGCCGCTGAGGGGCGGTACACACTCTGGGGGTATCTGACTTTCTTCCCACGGTCGGACATCGCCAAGTCCGCCCGCCTCTCGATGGCTCGTGAGGCGATGAAGGGCTGGGTCCGCAGGTTCCCTGGCTCCTCACGACATCCGTGGCCGCTCTCAGTCTTCTATTTGTTTATGAGTGTCTTCCTGAGGGACAAACACACCGAGGCTGCCGTCGCCCTGGCCATCCAGCTAGACGCCTACCTGAGACCTTCTGAGATATGCGAACTGCGGTGGTGCTCCGTGGTTCAGCCCTCAAAGCTCTCATCTTCACTGTCAAAGAACAAGTGGGCTGTTGTCATTGGTAACTCAGACCTCGGTGAGACCACAAAGACTGGTGAGAGCGATGACACTGTAGTACTCGACTCTGTCGGCCGTGAGTGGGTAGGTTCCGTGCTTGAGATGTGGGCTAGGCGCCATAAGTCTGACACCTCTTCTGATCAGCTAGTCTTCCCGCACTTGTCTCTGGCCAAGTATGAAGCACTTTTTCGGAAATATAGCCGCTCTATCCTCGGCAAAGTAGGGCACGTCACTCCCCACGTGACCCGTCACTCAGCGCCCAGTCACGACGTGCTGGTGCGCGCTCGCAGTCTAGCAGTTGTTCAGAAGCGCGGGCGCTGGGCCCACGCCAAGTCCGTAAACCGATACGAAAAGAGCGGCCGCCTTCTTCTCCAGGCCGCCTGTCTTCCTTCCGAGCTCGCGAGGCGAGCTACAGCTGCGGAGGCCTCCATCTTTCTGTGTGTTCAGGAGGCCCTCCAGTAATGGGTCACGGTATGGGCTGCGATTGCCAAAGCCTTTGTTGAATCCTCAGGTGTACTCGTAGACCGAGTATCCCTTCGGAAGGAACCTTTTCGCTCTGCTCGCCTGGCGCATGTCAAAAAGAGAAGGTTCCAAGATATCCCCCAGCGAAGGATCTAACCAGCCCTCTGGAGTGGGTCTCTGGGCCGCTGGAGAAGGGTCAGTGATGCGTTTAATATTTGATTGTTATATATCTCGATTCGTTGAGTCCCGCCACTGTCAGCTTGCCTGTCTGTAACTATTTTGCTCAAGTCTCCCTCCTCTCCCTCCCTGCGTCTGTCTGGGCTGTGATTGCCAAAGCCTTTGTTGAATCCTCAGGTGTACTCGTAGACCGAGTACCCCTTCGGAAGGAACCTTTTCGCTCTGCTCGCCTGGCGCATGTCAAACAGAGAAGGTTCCAAGAGATTCCCCAGCGAAGGATCTAACCAGCCCTCTGGAGTGGGTCTCTGGGCCGCTGGAGAAGGGTCAGTGATGTCACCATTGCCATTCTCATCACCGTGGTCCTACACTTCGCGAGCATTTACCTCGTATGCCTCCTCGTACTCGTCACGGGCAGGGAGGTTTTTGGGCGCCTCGCCGAGAGCAGTTCTGGCGGTGTTTACGTCGCCCTTGAAAGGTTGCTTGGGAGTCGAGATGCGAGTTGATCGTGCTGCGCCCTGTGACGCTCGCTGGTGCGAGCGCATACCCACGAGAGAAACCAACACGAGCGGATATTCATCGATCCCGCTGCGCCCTGGAGGATCGCCGTTGCGAGCACGAAGCCGCACAGGCTCAGGAGATCACCTCTCAGTATCATCATTCTTATTGTCGTTATCATTTTCATCATCCTCTCTTCCGCCCTTGCTATGTCCCACAACCAGCTCAAACCTGTAAGACACGATAGCTTCGCCAACTGCTTGCCCGGTAAGAGGTTAGCTTGTGGCTAACGTTATGTGTGTACAACAAGGCTGCCAACCAGAAGCTGCAATTACTCACAGAAACCCAATCATCAACTTGGATGCCCCCGAGTTAACAACAAATTTTGATTTACCTATATACGCACTCCCTCATCTGAGCGCTCGTCAGAGGAATTCGTGGGTGCTTGATTGGACTCTTGATTGGAGCCCATCCGCGCGAGGCACCAGAGGCTTATTCCATGTCCCATCGCTCACCACTCCAGCATGCCATCACCCGCTCTTGGCGGGCGGTTGGTTTGGACAATCGGAGAGCCGCGGAAATGTGGCCTCGGCTGTTTTCTGTGGAGACGTCGAGGACGCGCACAAGACGCAGCGCATTTGAGCCATGAGCGCAGAGCCTCACCACGGGTGCCAACGGGATTCGACAGCTGACACGCTGGAGAGGAAGCGCCAGAAGGCAGACAGGCCAGAGTGTCCTGGCGCCCCCAGGAACGTGAAGGCGACAATCGAAGCAGAGCTGGCCACAGAAGCAGGCGACATGCAAATTGCGCGGCAAGGCGCTGAGAATGCAATGGCGTCGAGCGCCGTTCGTGCGTTTCTCGTCGACGCTGGCATGTCTGCGTCGTCGCGGCCTACGGGGGTCGACATGAGCCAGTTCGACGACGACCGCGATCCGTTTGGTCATCGCCACGTGGACATGTCGGAGATTTCAATTCGCGCGAGCTGCGCTGCGCAGTCTTGGAAGGCCCGCGATGTTTTTGAAGTCTGTAGTCAACTGCTTGTTGACCGCGCTTGCGATGTATAACCCGACCTCATATATTCGGTTCGATGCGCGAACGACTCCCGGTCATTCGTTTATCCCAGTACCGCTGCCAGCAGCGAAGGAGCCCTTGGCGAGCGTTTGCAAAAAGTCGATGCTAGCGCTGCACGCGATATGCGACGTGCGAATTTAAGTGCGTGTACGCAGGTCATTCGGTTATCTCAATGCCGCGGCTAGCGGCGAATGCCCTTGCCGAGCGTTTGTATAAGATCGTTGCTAGCGGTGCGCACGACATTCGCAACGAAGCACATGAGCATGTTGGATACCAACGCAGTGCCCGCCCAGCTTCACCTCTACTTCCCAACCATCCTGTGTTGGGTCCTCGCTTTGAAAAGACAGCGCCCCGCGTTCTCCTCCTCTCCTCCTCCCATGCGTGCGTCTGCCTTCCGAATGTCCATTTCGGCACTCTGCCCTTCGCATGCCCATATCGGCACACCCCTCACACAGTTCGTGGCCCCATAGGGTGTTCCATCCAAGGCTTCAGCGGCCGCGCTCACATGCGTCCACCCCGCCCACCGCATGCCCATTTCGGCACACTTGTCACACGGTTCGTGACCCCATAGGGAGCTCCACCCAACGACCCAGTGGCCGCGTTCACATGTTTCCACCCCGCTCACTGCATGCCCATGTCGGCACACCCCTCACACGGTTCGTGGCCCCATAAGGGGGCTCCACCCAAGGCCCCAGTGGCCGCGTTCACATGCGTCCACATCGCCCACCGCATGCCCATGTCGGCATATTTGTCACACGGTTCGTGGCCCCACAGGGAACTGCACCCAAGGCCCCAGTGGCCGCGTTCACATGCGTCCACCCCGCCCACCGCATGCCCATGTCGGCATACTTGGCACACGGTTCGCGGCCCCATCGGGAGCTCCACCCAAGGCCCCAGTGGCCGCGTTCACATGCGTCCACCCCGCTTACTGCATGCCCATGTCGGCACACCCCTCACACGGTTCGTGGCCCCATAAGGGGGCTCCACCCAAGGCCCCAGTGGCCGCGTTCACATGCGTCCACATCGCCCACCGCATGCCCATGTCGGCATATTTGTCACACGGTTCGTGGCCCCACAGGGAACTGCACCCAAGGCCCCAGTGGCCGCGTTCACATGCGTCCACCCCGCCCACCGCATGCCCATTCGGCAAACCCGTCACACGGTTCGTGGCCTCATGGGCGAGTCGAAATTTGGACCCAGAGCGTGGTCTCCCCAACAGTTTATGCCTGGGTCCTTCGTCCGGATAGTGGAAGCCTGTGTGTATATATATGTATATATATATACATATACATATACATATACATATACATATATATAATATAATATATATATATATATATTTATATATATATATATATATATAATATATATTACAAGCCCGGGCGGGGGGAAAACCCGTCACCCCCCCAAACAAAAACGGAACTCCCGGGATCTGGGGCTTTGGGACCCTTCGGACGGGCCTCGAAGCGGCCCCCCAGGCCTCGCAGGGCGTTTTGCCAAACCTTCGCAGCACACCTAGGGCGATCAGGGGGGTCATCGGAGACGTCCCAGAGAACCCGAAGACAGCACAAGAGCGCTCCAAGAAGCCGTCATACCCCGAAAGATCGCTCCAAAACGTACCAAAAGGCCTCCAAGAGCACCCCCAAGAAGGCCCCAAGAGGGAATAATCATAGATTGAATGTAGGTTTTTGGTGAATTTCGGGTTCTCCTCTTTTCGGCTTCCCGACGCTCCAAGACAGCGGTCTTCTGGGCGTCCGAAGTCGCCTGGGATGCTCCAAAATTGCCCTGCAACCATCCGAAAAGGGCTTCCAGGCAGTCCAAGAGAGCCCCAGAACGGCACAACAGGGGTCCAAAATGTTCCTGAGAGAGCCCCATGGTGGCCCAAGATGGCCCCCAGACACCCTCCGAAGCATTCCAAATCTTGACCGGGGCGTTGAGGGAGACTGCGGTTAGAGGCAGGTTGGCCTTAGGAAGCCCCAGAGGCCACCAGAACACGCCCAGGAGGCCTCCAGAAGGCTTTAAGACAGCCTGAGAACTTTGGTGAGGCCCCCAAAGGCTCTCCAAGGAGGAGCCTCCGCAAACAGAGCGGAGGAGAATGGAGAGAATACCCAGGGTATGGCGAGAATGAAGAACAATAAGCATGGAAGAGGGATAGCGAAAAATATTTTTATAGTGGCGATGCCAGAAAAGGCAGCAAGGAGTTATCGCAAAATTGTCCGCTTGACCTTCCTGCCATTTCCGCGTGCACACCATTTTTCAAGGACCAAGGTGCATGGCGCGAAGCGCCACTGCAGTCTTGTATATATGTATATATATGTATATATGTATATATATATATGTCATTGTCTTGCTCGCCTACCCTGTGAGGTTGTCGTCTATGTGTTTTATCGGTTCTCAAGCCTCGCCCTTTAATGGGTTTGTGATGCTCCTCTGCGTTTCCGACCCTGTCGACGGTGGGGGAGAGACCCAATTGCGTGGCAATGATTGTCCATGTCGTCGACGTAATCTCCGGCTCGAAACAAGTTGTCTTCTTGCCAGCTCGAAACAAGCCGGCTCTTGGCCGACTCAGAGACGAAGTCGGCTTCTAGCTTGCTCGCAGTTCTACGCCGCGACAAATTGCGCTTGTTGTGGCGCCGATCCCCAGGAGAAACGCGGAGGTCATGGAGATCATGTAGAACACGGAACAGCAATATGCGCGCACAGCGCGCGCAATGCAATACATAAGTTATGCGGCGTTACGTGTGACAATGCGAGGGTCATATTGTTAACGAAAGAAGATGTGACTTGCCAGACCATATTGTCGCTCCATCCCGGCTTAGCTTTTCGCTGGTGGTATTTTCGTCAATTACGGAATCGGGCGTGCCGCTCCATTCGGGCTGCTTGAGCGGAAACAGCGGCCATTTTATCAGCGTGCTTTGATTGGACACCGTCCTGCGAAGACCAGGGAAAATCATGTCAGAAGCAGGACAACAATGGCAAACGGAACTAGGTGGAAATATCCATTGCGTTTTGCGTTGTTATCCCGGGAATGAAAATGAGCGCGCGTGCGACTTCGATATCCAAGGTCTTACTCCAGAGAGCGACCCTGCTTGCGGTGCAGTAGGTGAGGTTTTCATGGAAATGTTCAACGCAGTAAATCGCGACAAATGGTTCACATAAGCTGGAGAAAGCGATGGCCCCACAGACGTTGCAGCGGATGGGGACGAGCGGGTTGCGCGCGCCATCGCGAAACGCGACAAGAAGTTCAATGAACATCGGAAGAAAGGCCGACCCGCAGCTGGCAACAGAGAGTGACGATGCAAACGCGTCACGCAAGTTAAGTTATCTGCACAGCAGAAGCACGAACCATACTTGGAGGCTCATGGGTTACAGCGGATACGAAACGGAGGCAAAGAAGGAGCCTCGAACGCAGGTCTTCGTTTGGAAGTAATGATGACTTACGAACGTGCGGGGTATAAGAAGTCAGCTCTGCGACACTTGACGCAATCAGAATCAGTTGTCCGTGATGGTGTTGGAAATTGTAATTGCGCGTGCCTCGACTGGACAGGAACTCGGTTGTTTGACTCATTGGGGGGGGGCATGAGTGCGATGCGCCCCGCTATCCGAATAAGAAGTTGACTTGCAGGTCTCAGGCGGCCGAGCAATTGTAGGCCAAGTTGAACAACTTTCGTTTTGCATATACAATGCGAAGAGCCCGCTGCAGATATCTTATTCGGCAGGTGTGCGCGTGGCACAACCGATATTCTCTCTGTGGTAAGCACAGGAAGGACTATGAACCAGCAGTGGGCAAAACAACGAGCCCGCAACAGGCATGTGAACACTTCGCCACATGATTGTTCAGTCCATTGAACAAGAAGGCTGCTTGTTCGCTTTCACGAGACCGTTCGTGCTAACATTCGGGCAGTTCTCATGCAAGAAGTCTGCTCGCCTTCACAATAAGAACAACAGGGCATGGGCCGCAAGTGCTTTTGTGTCAAAACCAACTCGCCATATCCTCTGGTCGTATTTATTATCGAACTGTCATCACGTTTTGGGAATATCCCATTATTCTTTTCGCCAGTGTTCATACCCATCAGATGCGGAGGGCTAAACGATACCAGGGTTCTCCGCGCGAAGCCGAACCCTCGTCGCTTCGACCCGGTTCGCATCGAAATTCTAGACGCTTCGCGTATCCCCACCAGCCCGTCCAGAAATGAGTCCCAGGGGAGTGGAGGTTATGAGGGAAGCGGGGGAGCATGCAGAAGAACAAAGGGCGGGGTGAGCCGCCATATACCCCAAGAGGGGGAGGATGTAGGAGGAGCCGTCGTCGTAGGAGTAGGAGGAGGAAGAGGAGGAGCAGGAGGAGGAGCAGGAGGAGGAGCAGGAGGAGGAGGAGGAGGAAGATAAGGAGGAGGATATGGAGAACTGCGAGGACGAGAAGGAGGAAAAGGAGAAGGGAGGAGGAGGAGGAGGAGGAGGAGGAGGAGGAGGGGGAGGGGGAGGAGGGAGGAGGAAGAAAAAGAAGAGGAGGAGGAGGACAATGGCGAGCTTGGGGGCCTCTTGGGCCGTCTTTGGGGCCTCTTGGCGGTCCCGGGGGCCTCTTGCGTATCTCGGGGAGCCTCTTGTGGCCTCTTGGGGGTCTCTTGGGGGCCTCTTGGAGGCCTCTTGGGGGCCTCTTGGGGCCTCTTGGGGCCCTCTTGGGGCGCTCTTGGGGCGCTCTTGGGAGCCTTCGAGGCGCTCTTGGGGCCATCTTGGAGGAGATCTATCAAAGAAGGGGGGGTCCCCAATTAGCGCTGCCCCTCTAGAGTGCCTCGAATCGCTTCTTGGGCCCTTCTTGAGGCCAAAATCTTTCCAAAACCTAATAAAATCAATGTTTTGTGTTTTCTCGCCTTTTCGCTCTTGGAGCCGTCTTGGGCCGTCTTGGGAGCCTCTTGGGCCTCTTGGGGGTCTCTTG